GACGAAGCAGGCGCCGAGGGCGGCGCTGCCACCGTCGGCGACGCAGGCACGTGGCGGCGTGTCGAGCCGCGCGGAGCCGCGCCACAAGGTCAGCCTCTTCTGCCCTGTCTCTCTTCCGCCGCTCCCCCACCGCCAGCGTGAGACGCCCCGGCTGTGCCTCTCCCGAAGGCGTGTTCGGCCACGCGTCTGCTCTCGACAGCCGCGGCGCGCTGTGGGTCCACGGCGGCTGCGCGGGGCGGGAGTGCGGCGCGGCGCTCTACACGCTCGAGTGGGGCGGCGCAGCGGGCGGCGCGGCGGGAGAGGGGGCGGGCAATGTTGCGGCGGGGACCGAGGCAGAGGGCGAGGCAGAGGGCGACGCGGAGGGCGGTGGCGACGGGCCAGCGAGCGGCGAGCGAGCGTGGGAGTGGCGCCGTGTCGGCGTCGGGGGCGCCGCTGCGCCGTCTGCGCGCCACAAGCAACCGACCCCCCCCCCCCCCCCTCCACAGCCCGTGGCCCCTCCCAGCCCAAACCCGAACTCGAACTGCAGGCACAGCCTTGTCTCCGCGTTTGACTCGCTCCTGCTCTTCGGAGGCGCGAGATCGCCCGAGATCGCCCGAGATTAGCTCTTGCCCTTCAAAGCCGCGACGCAGAGCCGCCCCCCACACACACCACGTCCTCCGCACCGCGACTTCTATGCGCGCCCACCTTCTTCGTGACCCGCCAACCGCCTGCGCGCTGCAGGTGTCCAGCGGGGCATGGCGATGCGAGGCTTCTACTCGCTGGACTCGGTTGCCGCCGCCGCCGCGCCGCCGCCGCTGCCGATCGCCCTCCGGATTGCCAAGCCGGCCCTCCGGCTGCTCGCGCTGCTGCTGCTGCTCGCGGGCGCCCTGCTCCGCCGCGGCGACTACGCTCGCCTCGGCCTCTCGTTGCTGCTGCTCCTCGAGCAGCAACGCGTGAGCGAGACGCTCTCCAGGCTGCGAGGAGGCGGCACCGCTTTGCCGAGTCGCCTGCCGCGCGCCTCGCCTCCGCGCGCCGCTTCCCTGCGCGGCCTCCCGTGGAGGCGCAAGTTCGGATGACGAGTCAAAGCCCAGAGAGACGCCCCTCGCCGCCTCGGCATGACTTCTACCATTTTGTGCTCGTGACTGTCGGTGTACCTCTGGCCGTGTGGCCGAGAGTTGAATTTTGGTGCTGAGCCCATGCATGATGATACGCCGTCAGTACGTCGGTCCCTCTCTCTCAAACTGAAACTCGTTCCGCGGGGGGAGACACCTCCGTCACGGCGCTCACGGCTCAGCACGCGCGTCAGCGTCCGTCTCCTCTCTCTCTCTCTCGGCTCTCGCTCGGCGCTCGCTCCTAGAGCTAGACCCGCCCCAGACCGAGGTGTACACCGTACGTACACTGTGCACTTCTCTCTCACCGCATGTTCGGAGAGCTGTCCGCTTTGAAACATGTGCGGTTTGCTACCATCAATCCCAATCTCAGACGAGAGGCAGCGCGAGCTGATGCGAGTCGCGAGGTCGACACGAGACGGCTGGGGTCGCGAATCTCCATACACGACACAGCAGAACAGTAATCGTCGAGCTGCTGTCTAAGAGTGTCTAGCAATTGTGTAACGTAACGTTCGGGGGAACCTGCATATGTTGCCGTCGCGTCGTCTCTCGCCCTCTCGCCCTGCTCGATCGACCTACCCCCCGCCATCTTAGGCACTACCCTCCCGCCTCAGACCCCAGTCCTTTCTCGCTTGAAGCCGCGCCACTCCCAGTGACTCTCCGGCAGACCTCAGCCCGGTGGACCCGCGCTGCCGCCCACGTAACGCCCTCAAACCACGTCACTGGTCTCCCTCTCGTCGACGTGTGCCCGTCCTCGTGCTCGACACGCCCGCACACTTCACCCCTTCCTAGGAGCGTCGCACTTGTCTTCCAACGGCTCCACGAATGGCTGCGAGAGAACGCGCTCGAGCTCGCGGAAGCGCTCCTCTGAGAACTGGCAGTGGAACGGCCCGCCGTGCGAGTTGAAGATATCGGCGCCATTGGTGCAGATTTGATCAAACACGCAAGCCTCGAGGTAGAAGATGTCAAAATTGGCGTAGCCGTAGCCGCCAGGAGGGGGCCGGTCTGGCTTCCAGCCGCCGCACTGGCCGAGAGGCCGGCTCGAGGACGGCTTTGGGTCGAGGCTGTTTGGAGAGGTGGCGAAGAGGACGGTGTTGCTGCCCTGTCCCGGTAGCCTGCCCTGCGCGGCACACACCTGCCACTCCAGATTGCGGCAAAGGTTGTACGGAACGCGGCGTGAGGCGATGTTGAGGATGTTGATGTTGGCCGCTACGCAGTTGCCCGCGTGGCCAATGTCAAAGGAGGTGGGCAGCCCCTGCTGCCGCAGCTGGTTGGCGCAGTAGCGGCCAATGTCGCTGTCCTCGCCAAAGAGCGCCGGGGCGGCCGCGGTGTAGGTCGGAGGTCGGCCGCGGAGGCCGAGGAGGCCGCCATTCCCCTCGTACCAGTTCTCGCCGCAGTACCTCCCCTCCAGCGTCTCCTGCCAGAACTGGCCCGCCGGCCGATTCCTGTTCTTGTTGTCCCTCGCGTGCAGCCAGCAGGCGGAGCCGGTGCCGGTCTGGGAGCCGGCCACCATCTTGCCCCAGCCCTCTGTCGCCCACATGCGGCGGAACACGCCGCTCGGGTCGTGCAACATAGCCTGGCACTTTGCGTGGTTGAGGGTGCCCGGCCACTGGCGGTAGGGAGGCGGAGCCATCGGCTCGGAGGGGGGCGGCGACGGCGGCCGAGGAGGGGGTAGCGGTGGGTGGGGCGGGGGAGGAGAAGGCGGCTCCAAGATCGGCACGTGGAAAAAGAGCCTCGCGTCGCCGCCCAAGCGGACCTCCTGTGTGCCAAGCCGCATGCTCCAGAGCGCCTCGCCACAACACCCCTTGTGCAGCGGCGGCGCCTGCGCCCCATCCTTGCGCAACTCAAAGCACAGCGGCCCGGGCTCGCTGAGATCGGTGTGAAGGCAGACGTTATCGCTGACGCTCTGCTGCGTGTACCGGCGGGCAGACTGCTCCCAGTCCAGAGGCACCGATCCGACCTGGCCGCCACGGCCGCCCAGCACCCTCAGCAGGAGGCGCTGCGGCCCCGCCGGCGGAGGGGCGCACGTCACGCTCACGCCTGCCCATTCGTTGGAGACGGAACGGTGGCACTCACCGCTGATGCCTCCGTGGCACGCAAGGCTCGCGCAGTAGTCCGAGTTGTCACCCACCTGGTACACGCTGCCGTCGGGGCAGGTGCACGAGCCGCCCCACACGCCCGCACCAGAGTTCTTTTGCACACGATTGGTGCCTGACACTGGCGGTGGAGGCGCAGCCGCGCCCGCCACGGCAACCTTCTCGAGGCACACCATCTCGGGCGGTGCCGGCGGCGGCGGTGGCGGCGGCGGCGGCGGCATCGGTGGCGGCGACGGCGCGCTGGGAGGCGGCGGGAATGGCGGCGGCGGCAGTGCGGGCGGTGGCGGGAGCGCGATGACGAGCGCACTCACAAGGGCACCGATGGGGTGGCCGGCAAGCGTCTCGATGGCAAAAAGGGCGCTGAAGGTGACAAAGGCGCACGCACAGCAGACCCGCGCGAGGGCGAGGGTCGGCGGTGCTCCTTTACTCGCCGTCCCATCCCTGGCGTCGTGCTCCTCCACCTCGTCGCCCTGCGACTCGGCCGCTTGCCAAGATGGGAGCGTCTCGTCTACTGCCCTCACCGCCCGCGTCGCTCTAGCGAGCGGCGCCGCTCGCGCCATTTCCACATCCTTGACGCTGCCATCCTGCTCGACCTCGATGGCCTCGGAGAGATTACACGGCATCACACGGAGCAGCACACCCTCTTCGTCCAGCCGCACCTCGTGCCGGCCGTCCACAAGGGGAGCAACCACGACGCCGCGCCGACCGTTGTGCCTCCTGCTTCCCTCTGAGACCAGCCCCTGGACAAAGACGGCTGCTCCAACGCCGAACTCTTCGCTCCGTCCCGGATCGCTCCGTGGTTCCTCGTCGTCGTCGTAGCTTTCTTCGTCGTCGACGAAGGCCCCGTATCGCCGGGCCGCCCGGCCAAAGGGCTTTGGGGCGCGCGTGTCCGGCATGGAGGCGCGGCCTGCAGGCTGCCCGCCGACCATAGTTGTCGCACGCCCCCTTTCGCTTGCGACGAGCAACGAGCGAGCTGGGAGACGCGTGCGCTGCGTGCGGCGCGCCGCCTGCTCGCGCGTGAGTCTCAAGTGCGCGCCGCGCGCCACCTCGCTGCGCCTGTTCGATGCTGCGAGAGGAGGAGCTGCGGCTGCGGAAGGAGTCAAGTGAGTAACAGATCTGCGCCTGTGCTCCGCAGCCTTTCAGCACGCGGGCCCTGCGAGCCTCTCTCACACATGCACCCTGTGGGCACACGGCCTGCGAGCCTCTCTCACACGTGCACCCTGTGGGCACACGGCCTGCGAGCCTCTCTCACACGTGCACCCTGTGCTCCGCAGCCTTTCACGACGCCAACCTGCAGTGGCGCGAGATGCGGTTCTGGTTGGACCAGCTGTCGACTTACTCCCAGCAGGCGGCGATCGTGATCGGCTTCGCGTTTGCAAGCTTCTGCGCGGACAACCTAGGGGATCTTCCGTGGAGCAGCCGCCCATCGCTCTCGGCAACGTTCGTGGTGTCGTCCGGCGTGGCGATGACGAGCGCCATCTCCGTCGTTTGCTTTGCGTCGCACCTGATGCTGTCTGCAGAGCGGCTGGCGATGACGACAGCGGTAAAGGTGGCGGTGGTGGCGGTGCGATCTCGGCTACCCATCGTCGTCTGCCTGTATGTTACCTCCCTCATCTCGCTCTTCCTGGCGGCCATCTCGCTCACGTTTTGTATGTGCGGTGCGTGTGCTCGCGGTTGGGCCCGTCCTCCATCGAGTCGCTCACATTTGATACATATAGGTGCACGCATCACCACGAGGAAGGCGAGAGCGTGTGCGTCGTAGCTGGCTGGGCGACCCTAATGCTGTTCCTTCTGGGCGGCTTTGGTAACGCCATCGCGATCTCTGGCACCCGCGCGCTGATGCGCCAGGCCAAGGGGAAGCGGGGCAAGAACTTTCGCGTGCCCGCCGTGTCTGGCTTGTACCGCTCGCCTAATACAGGCCTGTTCGTTCAACACGCGGCAAGCTACGATATGCGCCGGCCGCTGTGCGCGGAGTCGCCGACGAGAGACCTGCAAGCGACGGCGCGACCAGCCGGCCCCTTGAGCCCGCCCACCGTCCGGCCAGACTACTCAGACGTCGACAATGTCGCCAACACGCGACAGGAGCTGGAACGAGCCCTCACCGAGCTGCACCGCGAGCCTCGGCGCACCGCCGAGCGTGAGGGGGGCACGCCGCCGTGGTTGCGCGCGTTGGGGTGGGGAGGGCGAGGGAGGACGAGGGGAAAGACGTAGTGCGTAGTAGCGCGCATATTCCCCCACCGTATACGTCAGTGGCGAGGGCCGGCCGCGCCGCGGGGGGCGGGGCCTGAGCGTTCTGTAGTGTGTGGTGTCTTTGGTGACAGTCCGCTCGAGCAGAATTGCAATGTACTACCATATCCATGATGGGATAGCTCTTCATCATGGATGAAGATCTGAATGATTGGTGAATGTACAAGAGCTCGCCACTCGTCTCTCTGCGGCTCGCCGGAGGACAACCGTGCCCACACTCGTACAGACACACGCCCCGCGCGGGTGGGGGTGCGTGGCGAGCGCGAACACAAGTTGCGCACTCGAAAGGTCGCGAGCTGCGTCTCCTGTGAGAAATATGCACGCCCGGCTTGACCCTTGCATATGCGTCATGGGCGCTGCGACCACCAGCGTCGCACGCCAAAGGACTCCGCGCTGCCGGGCGTCGCTGGCGCCTCGACAGCGCTCATGCGCATCGCGTCGAGGTCGACCGTCAGCTGCAGCTGCGAGAGGAAGGCGAGGCCGAGGAAGAGCACGTGCGGCTCTGCAGCCTCCCCCTCACGCCTGCCGTCGCGCATTGAGACTGTTGCTTGGCTGCATCTCGGCTGCACCTCGGCTGCAGCTCGGCTGCACCTCGGCTGCACCTCGGCTGCATCTCGGCTGCACCTCGGCTGCACCTCGGCTGCATCTCGGCTGCATCTCGGCTGCATCTCGGCTGCATCTCGGCTGCATCTCGGCTGCATCTCGGCTGCATCTCGGCTGCATCTCGGCTACAAATAGGCTCATGCTCAAGCACCCGTCCCCCCACAGTGTAGTCGTGGTGTGAGCACACAAGTACTAGCAGAGTGCCAGAGTGCACACCTGCCTGCCTTGGCACAGCCCGCCGTCTCACGCGACCCGCCCGTGTTGTGGCTGGTGTCGCGGCCGAGGCATTAAAATCTCACACCACGGACGGTTGCTTACTCACTGCTAGGCTAATCCCGGGGAGCTGTCAAGCGGTAGGTAGGTAAATAGAAAGGCTCGGCTATTTGTCTCGGCTAAAATAGGCCCGCGAGATGCGAGCCGCGCTCGGCGCAGCCGCGACCTCCTCGCCTGCGCCGCCGGGTCGAGCGCAGAGGCGGGACGAGGGCGGAGCACGATGGGCCTCGGCGCAGAGTCGGCCGGCGGCAGCGACGAGTCGAAGTTTAGCGGAGTGCCGAGCGGAGTCGGGGCGGAGAGGCCAAACCAGGGGAGGCTCACCTGCCGAGGAGTGGTCGTGTCGTGGACGTAAGACCGGAGGGAGGCTGACCGAGGGCAGTGGGATGGGTCTGGGACGAGGCGGCGTCTGGGAACAGCAAGTGGCGTGGGGAGTCACCGGCGTCACAATGAGCGGGAACTCCTCAGGCTCCCCGTCGCTCTGCCGGTAGCGCCGCGAAGAGGCGTGCAGAGCGACGGGTCGCCCTCGCTCCGTGCGGACGATAACCTCGACGTCCCTGCAGGTGGCGAGGGAGAGCTCAGCCGGAAGACTAGCGCCGGAAGGCACGAGCGCGCCCGTCACGCTGACACGTACCTCATCGCAGCGCCGGGCAGCGGCAGCTCGTCCGACTCGTAGAGGGTGTCCGAGAGGACGAGGCCCGTGGTTCCCGTGTCGAGAACCGCCACCGCCGGCCGAGAGAGCGGCACCTCCGCTCGGTTGACGAGGAGGCGCTCAACGCGGCAAGCGTACTGCGCCACCGGAGCGCCCAGCGAGCGGAGGTCGACCAGCGGGATGGCGTCGCGCTGCCGCAGCAGAGGCCTGCGGGCGAGGGTGAGTCGGCGGCGAGGGAAGTCGAACTGGAAGCTTTCGATGTCCGTCTGCTCGAGCAGGGTCGGCCGGACTCGAGGCACGCGGTCCCGCACCAGCCCAAGGTAGATCGCGGACGTCCCTCCCTTGCGAACGGACGAGGTGACGACTCCAAAGTTGATGGGCGAGAAGCTAAAGTCTCCAAAGTCGAGCCTGCCACGCCGCCACTCCACGCCGACATCCTGCCCGCCGAACCCCTCCGTGGTTGCGTCGCCCAGCGCCACCGACGCGGTGGAATCGGCGTAGCATCCCCAACGATCATCGCAGCCAGAGGCGGGCAGTCGGCCCGGCACCAGCAGGAAGGGGCTTCCCGTGTCCAACACCGCTCTAAATCTCTGACCTTCGACGGAGTAGGAGGCGCCTGTAGGACAGTCAACAGTTGGGACCATATCAAGCTGTACTCACATGCTCGTTGGCGCTGGAACTCACAAAAGGCGCCGCCGCAGCGCTCGAGAGGAATTTGCGACAGCTCTGGCTGGCGCCCCTGAGCGTCCGGGACGCCAGCGCCGCAAGCTGCCGCCGCGAGCAGGCGAAGTGCGGAGGAGCGCTCGAGGTCGAGCGGGCGGCGCATATATGGATGGCACCTGCTAGGGTCGGACGCAGCGCAGGGCCGTGTTACGGCGAGCCCCGCGGCATGCGCTACTAAAAGAGCGAGTCCAGCGAAGAGCGTACCTGTGCTAGTGCCAGTGCGCGCCAGTCCCGTGCCCAGTCGTGCCAGCGAAGAGCGACCAAAGATGGCCGCCAACCCGATGCGGATCTCGGTGCAGCGCCGCCTGGGTCTCCCCCTCGACGTGGCTTGCCAGGCCGTGTCGGGGGGCAAGAAGACTCGAAACAAGAAGTACGACGGCGAGCTCCGCAGCAGGGCCACAACATCAAACACAAGCAAGTGTCTGCTGCACTTGGGGTGGGACGACGGGGGTAGACCATGCTGTTGCTGTGAACAGCTGGGGCACGCGCCTTATCTGGCCCGGCCCCTTGGGGACTTGCGGCTCGGGTGCGACCTCTGACCGCGGGTCGCAGACCGTGTGCTCTCGGTGTCCGATGACATGGCGCCTCTTCACGATCAGCACGCCAGTCTGTTCACACCTCTCTTCTGTTCACTTCACGGAGTGACAGGGGTTCGTTACCCAGTTTAAGAAAAGGTTTCAAGAAAGAAAACACACCCTCAGGAAAACACCCTCATATAAAAACGAAAGGAGCCAGCGCGCTTGTGGCTTCCACTCACAAGCACGCTTTTCCACGTCTCCGTCCCCGCTCTACCTAAGGCTCGCCGCTCGAACCAATGGCGGTGGGGACGGAGGTGTCGCCTCCGTCCCCGCCGTGGAGGCAGCGCCTCTCTCCCCGCTCGACCTATAGCGGTCGGCGGACTCGAGTTCGAGTGGGGACGGCGGCTCATATTGCTAAATATAAAATTCCCACCCACCCACTCACCCGGGTGGGGGGATATAAAATACCTCAGGGTGCTGTGCGGGTGTGAATACAAGAGCGCTGCACTGAGAACGAGCAGCTCACCCCCTCAGTGGCTAGCTGGTGTACGCGGCGCGTTCCTGCTGTACATCCTAGCCGCTGCACATGCTTGGCTCGTTCCTGGCCATCTTCATGCATGCATCTGCTGGTACGGTGACGCAACCTCCGTCTGCTCACCACCTCAATCACGTGGGTGGGCGTCGGAGAGCGGGTGAAAGACAGCCGCTGTCAGTGGCTTCGTGAAAAGGTCGGCCACTTGTCCCTGCGTTCGGATGTGGGTGAGCCTGACGCGCTTCGTATCCTTCACTTGCTCGCGCAGGAAGGCGATCTGAGTCGCCACATCTCGCATGCGTTTCGAGGAGGTGCACCCCGCCCTCCGAGCGGGGCGGGCGGTCTGCACCGCCGTCGGGTACTCGGGTTCCGTCGCCCCCTAATCTCCTCCAGGAGATGTCTGCTCTATTTATTAGGAGCAGTCACACGACTCTCACTCCGGTGCCATCCCCAAAAAAGAAATTCTGCGGCGATGCGCCCAAGTGCGGTGGGCGATCGCTCCTCCTCGCTCCTCCGCCGCGTTCTCCACGCTCCTCGCAGCCCTGCGCGTCTGTGCGCTTGAGCCGAGTGCCCGAGCCCCGACCCGCATCCTGGCCCAAAAGCGCGCGCCCGAGGCCCTCGCGCTCCGCCCCCCCCCCCCCCCCCACGTGCCGCGTCACGCCTAGTCCTCGTCCTCGTAGTCAAAGTCCGAATCGGCCGAGTCCGACTCCTGGGCAGCGACCGGCTTGCTCGGCGTGCGGGCGAAGAGGGCGATGCTCTTGCGTCGCCCGAGCGTCACGGCAGACACCTGGTGCATCAGCCGCTTGGACGGGAAGACGACAGCGTCTCCAGCTCGGAGCGGCACCGCCTCCGGCAGGCCTGAGGGCTCGCCGCTGGCCAGCATCTCCGGCGCCGAGCCGCGGACCACCTACAGGCGCTCGCTCCCGCGCAGTGCAGGGAGGGCCGGCGGCGGCTCCGTCACCCAGCCCGCTCGCGCCTCGAACACGCCTCCCGCGTCGCAGGGCTCGAGGCAGACCACGACCGAGAGAGCGCGCGCATCCTCGAAGCCGGGCGGGCCCTTTGGGCGCTTCGAGGCGGGGAAGGCGTCGAGGTGCCAGCTCTTCTTGTCCCCAACGCCGTACGACATTGCGTGCACATTTTCGTACCGCACCCGCCCAGAGGAGAACGCGGGCAGAGCACTGGGCCATTTTCTCGCGCCCTCTCGCACCGCCGCCTTGAGCCTCTTGAACAGGAACTGCGGGCAATCCCCGTGGTGGGCAAAGCAGCTGCAAGGGTCTGCGGGGCACAAGAGGAGGCCTCAGCGCCACTATTCACCGTCTCCGACGTGTGCGCTGGTCGCCTGGGTCATCCGGATCGAAGTCGGCGTCGTCGCTTTCGTCGTCGCTTTCGTCGTCGCTTTCGTCTTCCGAGCCGGCGAGCAGCGCTGCCGTGCCGCTGCTGCCCGTCGTCTCGCTGCTTGTGGCGGCAGCCTTGGCGCGGCGGGGCGGCCGCCTAAGAGCTCGACACCGCCGGTGGCCGATAGGGAGCGACGGAGCGAGCCGCGCGCTTCGGCTGCGCGCCAGATGATGCGGGAGACGTGGCCGACGTGGCGGTCCTATCATCACGTAGCGGATGAGGACACATAATATGTCTCTCCTCTCGGGAGCCACAGGGCCGGCGCCTCGTAGGCAGTTGAGTAGGTCGTGTCTTTGGTGATGCGCTCGAGGCGGGCAATGTCCGCATGCGAGAGCAGGTTCGGAAGGCGCAGCAGATACAGAGGCGGGGAGGGACGAGGCCGCTTCGACATTGCGCTGTAGTAGCTGACTTTGGGCCTTCGGTACGAGCGGCCCGCTTTCGCCCGCGCTGCCGGCGGGCGGCGATGGAGAGGCGCGAACCCGGCCCGCTCTTTGGCACGCGCTGCCGGCGAGCGGCGAGGAGAGGCGCGAACCCGGCCCGCTCTTTCGCCCGCGCTGCCTGCGAGCCAGAGGCGCGAACAGCGGAATTTTCTTTTTTCGAGAGCCTTGTTCTCTTTCGACCGAACCGCCTATCCCAGTCGTTGGTCGGACTGTGTTTCGCCTTCCCATCAATCAACAACCGCCAAGGGCCTGCCGCCACCCCCTACAGTGGGTTGCGGGCATTAAGAAAACAGAATTTGGCGGCACGCCGCCGTTTCTAAGCCTTTCCACAGCCCTCACCCACCCCACGCCGTGGTTTCTTAGCTCCGGCCGGCACTCAGGCCAGAGCCGGCCCCCTAAGGATTTTAGGTAAGAGGTAAGCTGCTAGTTGCGGTCCGCGAGGGCGATGCCAGAGAGTCTGCCGCCGAGTCGGCTCTCTGGATGACGGGAAGACGCACACACGCCTCCATCTCCACTCCACTCAGAACACCGTAGACTTGGAAAGTGACAAGTGCGCGCGCCGCAGGCGAAGAGAAATTTTGAGCTGGGGCCGCTCCCGTTCACACTCGAGACTCGTGTCTGGCTGGCCTTTTCTCGGGGCCGGCTCATCGGGCTGGCCGATTTTCGCGTGCTGCACGCCGAGCTCAGTCGTCTCCAGTCGAGCGGGGAGAAGCTGACTCCCTTCCACCCCGACCTCACGCCCTTCAGACAGCTGCATCTGTATGTGCATCGGAGGGAAGCGCTACAGCTTTACCTCCCGCCACTCACGAGCGCACAGATTGGCGGGCCATCCGTTGATTGCGAGATGAGCCTCGTAGCTTCGGCGGGAGCTGCTGGCTCTTGGGGGGAGGCCAGTGCAGTTGCAGGATCAGGAGCTGCTGGCCACGGCACGATAGATGAAGCGTTCTCCGTCTGAACTACGCGGGCGGGGCAAAAGCGTCGTGCTGCACGGCGGCCTTTGCGCTCTCTTGGGCTTGGGCCGGCGGAGAGACCCCTTTCAGGCTTTCGTTGATGTGTGCGTATGGGTATGCATCTTGCTGATGCTTGCCCACGCTTGTGTAACGCACCCAGTCCCAGATCATATCATACTCTCTAGCTAGGCGCGCCACCGCCACCGGTCGCCGTCAGCAGTGTACCTTGTTTCATCGTAGTTGCATGCACATATTTTACTGTGTAATTATATTTACTGTACTATGTGCTTGTGGAATGAATGTGTGTAGCACAAGCATGGTGAAACCCACCCGCACCCCCCTCACGGCGAGAGAGAAAAAGAGAGAACACCGTGTCAGTGTGAGGGCTGTGACTCCCCGTCCGTCGCCACTGCGCGAACGCAACCCCAAGGGGTGCGTATATGCTGGTTGCTGCTCGAAGGCCCGGTGATGGCCCCACAGAGCACAGTCAACACCCACACACGTGCACACATGCTGCGCTCAAGCTGCGCTGTGGGCCCGAATGGAGTTGGGCCGGCCCGAACTCGCAACCCTCCTCCGGCACATCACTTCACGACCTTGATGTCCCCCACCTAGCGATAGCAAGGGTCGCGCTCACAACAGAGTCGTGTCTGTGTAGTGTCGCGACGGCCCTCAGCCAGCCCTAGAGCCCGCCTGCATCTCGAGCGCCATCGCAGCCGCCTCTGCGATCGACTTCCTCGGCGCGAGCGAGCGCCTCACGAGGTGGACCGCGGCGCCGGCGCCGCTCAGGCAGAAGAGGAGGAGGAGCGCCATCATGCCCGGCGAGAGGTCGTCCAAGCCCTACAAGGAAGGCCCCGCGACGCTCCGGCTAAGGCTTTGCCCGTGCGAGCAAGGCCTCGGCGAGAGGCGTGCTGCGTCGAAACCACGCGGCGGCGGCGGCGGCGGCGACGCGTAGTCATACTCGCAGTCGATCTCTTGCCCGTAGATGCGGGTGCAGGAGGGGACATCCATCGGGAGCGGGCACTGAAAGTTGCCGCTGTGCGTGTCGTCGACGAGCCTGCGCGCAGGACGCGCACATGCACATGATGGTGGGACGCGTCATGCGCGTGTCATGGGCCGTGTGAGGGGGACACGCGGGCGTGTCATGCGCGTGTCATGGGCGTGTCATGCGCGACGTGTGAGGGGGACACGCGGGCGTGTCATGCGCGTGTCATGGGCGTGTCATGCGCGACGTGTGAGGGGGACACGCGGGCGTGTCATGGGCGTGTCATGGACGTGTCATGGGACGTGTGAGGGGGACACGCGGGCGTGTCATGGGCGTGTCATGGACGTGTCATGGGACGTGTGAGGGGGACACGCGGGCGTGTCATGGGCGTGTCATGGACGTGTCATGGGACGTGTGAGGGGGACACGCGGGCGTGTCGGCGAGTCGAGCCTGCAGGAGGCGCCCGGCCCGTCGAGGCTGAGGGAGTTGAGGAAGGAGGGCACCTGCACGGGGGCGTGTCTCGAGGACGTGTCATGGGCGCGTCATGGAGGCGTCGCGGCTGAGGGAGGCACCGTGCCCGAGACGCGGTCTCTCGGCCAGGTCTCGGGTAGTCTCGGGTAGTCTCGGGTAAGTCTCGGGTAGTCTCGGGTAATCTCGGGTAAGTCTCGGCACCGTGCCCGAGACGCCGGCGCGCGAGAGCTCGAGGAAGCGGAGGCTCTTTGAGCGGCGCAGGCCGTCAGAGATGGTGCCGGAGAGGCCGCTGTTGGAGAAGTCGATCACTTCAATCTGCCTCAGGTCCATGTCCTGTGGGGAGGGAGATGCACGGGTCTCGTCCCAGAGCTGCTTGCTGCCGGGCTACTAGAGAGGGGGGGGGGGAGGGGGTTACTAGAGGGGGGGAGGGGGAAGATCTCGGGTGATCTCCGGGTGCTGTTTCGCCTCTGCTACGTCTCTGCTGCTCTCTCGCCTCGATCCTCGGCAAGTCGACGAACTGGGGCAGAGTGCCGGAGAGGGCGGTCGAGTCGAGCCGGAGCTCCTCGAGGTACTGCTGCGTGAAGCAGGACCAGGAGAGGGTGCCCGAGAGGTGCTCGTTGTCGCCGAGCTCGAGATCTTGGAGCATGCCGTACTCCTGTGCGGCCGAAGTGACGCAGAGGGGTCAGACCTCGGACGTAGAGCAGGACGTACCGCCGCCTGCTGCGCCCGAGAGGAGCGGCGGCGAGGGAAAGCCGAGGCGTCATGGCGGGAGTGCAGCTGGCTGTGCAGGCGTAGCTCACCTTGGACTCGCCCTGCTTTGGACTCGGCGACTCGCAGTACGAGGCAGGGACGGTGCCGGAGATGCGGCCCGTCACCTACAGCCGAGCGGGGCAGCCGAGGTGCAGCCGAGGTGCAGCCGAGGTGCAGCCGAGGGGCAGCCGAGGGGCAGCCGAGGGGCAGCCGAGGGGCAGCCGAGGTGCGCGGTAGTGCGAGGGAGGGAGAGGGGATGCTGGTCGCTGCTCCTCGACGTGTCCCTCTACATCTCGGCTGTGTCTCTCGGCTGTGTCTCTCGGCTGTCTCTCTCGGCTGCATCTCTCGGCTGTCTCTCGGCGCCTTCAGCTCCTCGAGGCGACCTTTGGCATCCGCGCCGAGGAGCTCTGCTGGGAGGGTGCCCGAGAGGCGCTTTGCGGTGAGGGTGAGGTCGCGGAGGTTGCCCACTGTCGCGAGCGAGCCCGGGATCGTCCCCGAGATGGAGGAGGAGCTGTCCTTGCCGAGGTCGAGCCTGTTGAGCTCGACAAGGCCCTTGAGCGACTCGAGCGGGATCACGCCTAGACACTTCCTAGACACTTCCTAGACACTTCCTAGACAAGGCCCTTGAGACCCTCGAGCGGGATCACGCCGGAGGGCGTCGAGGTGCCGCCCCGCAGCTTGAGGTCCGTGATGCCGCCGGCGTCGTTGCAGCGCACGTCGGACAGCTTGCAGCAGTCGGCCTCCGTGCCCGGGAACCCTGTGTGGATGTCTGAGATCTGCAGGTCCGAATACACCGCCTTGAGCGCTTCGCACTGGCAGGCAGGAGTGACACAGCGGACCGCGTCGGCCGGCGCCGCGAGCATAGCGAGGATGCCGATGAGAGTGCACCCGGCGGGAGAGCGGCCGGAGGGGTTGCGCATGCCTGCCTCTGCTGGGTACGGGGGAGGGGCGGCGGTCACAAGTTGCGTTCAGCGGCAGCCCGCCGAGGGAGGGGGGGCGGCGCGAGCGCAGCGCGTGCGGCGCGGCCGAGTGACGAGAGCGCGCGGCGTGGTAGGGGCGTGAGAAACGATCGGGGGTGAGGCGGCGCGCGGCCGCGTATCCGGGCGGGCTGACCCCTCCTCGACCTGTGTGTGTGCGATGTGTGTGTTCCGAAATGCACGGCGCCGCGAGATTCTGCACGCCGTGCTCTCCGATAAAAAGAAAAAAGACGGGGGTGGGTTTTCGGAACCCGCCCACAGACAGACTGCAAATCTGCAATATCGCGCAGACTAGGTAGGTAGGTAGGTAGGTAGGTGTTACCTCACACTGTCTAGGCAGAGACAAGGAGGGCCCCCGCACACACGAACCCACACATACAGAGAGGGACGAGTGCACGCATTGGGCATCAGAGAGCCATACAGTAAGTGTTTGTTGTTGTTTGGCTTGAGCCAAGCAGGCACACCCGCGCGCGAGCGATTAGGCCAGGCCCGAAGCCTGACTCAAGCCAAGAGGCGCAGCGAAGCGCTAACGCGAGCCATCGTGGCCGCGGTGCAGCCCCGCACGGGTTTAGTGCGCGAGATGCGCTCGGGCGACGGAGGAGCCGGAGGCGGGCGGAACTCGGCCGGGGCGAGGCCTGACCGCAGCGTCTCGCGCCACGCAGCGCGATCAGCCGCGAGTAGATGCCAGCGCGCCGAGTCGATGCCGAATTTCGCGAGTGCCTTGAAGATCGACCGCCTGTAAGTCATGCGCGGCGCACCGATGGGCCGCCGGTGGGGCACCCACGCGGAGAGCATGCGGCGCGGCAGCCGGTCGTAGTCCATGCGCGCGACGTGGCCGAGCCAGCGCAGCTGGCGGCGGGCGATGTACATGTCGATCGAGTCGTAGTCTGATTTTCCCCGCGTATCGCATCGCCGCCCTTCGAAAGGAAGTGAGGGCTCTGTAGTAAACTTTTTGCCAAACGAAGATGTGGCCCTTTTCGACGTTTGCGAAGTCATGGTAAAATATGTTAAATGCGTGTCGGATGAAGGCGCATGCTGCTTCTGGTAACATGTTTTTCTTTTTGTCTTGATTGAATATTATGGCCCTCTCTATGCCTGTTACGGCGTCGGCGGGCGCTTTCAGGATTTCGTGGCAGAACTTCAGGCTGCGCGACCACAGAGGCTTAGTATGGCGGCATTGGACCAGGTGCAGCATGCTCTCGTCCTCTTCTCCGCACAGGCGGCATTTATGGACGGTTAGCGATGGGTTTCGGTTGCGGACGTTAATCGCTCTGTGGACGTATTTTCTCCACTGCCTCTCCTCGGCGTCGTTGGAGAGCGGGGTGCCGAACGAGCTAAACACTTTTTTAAAGTCGATTCTGAATCGGACCCCATACCGAGAAGAAGAATCTCTCTCTCCCATACCGCGTTGGTGTCCAGTCCGAGCCTGGCTGTTCTTCACCTTCATACCTAACCTAACCTAAGGGAGTGGGCGGGCGAGTACACGGTTTCGGAAGTAAAATGCATCGAGACGATCTTCTTTCCCTGTGCCCAGTGTCGTGAGTGGGCGCTTGGTTTTAACAAGTGCAAAATTTCTTTTTGGGCCGCGTGCGCGTTGTTAAAACTCCTTTTGGCATTGTTCTCTCTGACGGCGCCGCTCATTGTGGCCACTAATCCGAGCGGTTTCTTCTTATCGAGCGCTTTTGTAGTGCCAGTCCGAGCCAGTCTGCTGTGAGAGGTGTCGAGGTAAAATTCTTATCGAGCGGGGCCGCTGAGGGTTTGGCGGCGTCGCTTCCCGCCTCGCTCCAGCGCTGCCCCTCCTGCGGCTCGTCGCTCGTGCTCCGCGCCATCAGCTTTGAGGAGGTGCTCATCTGCTGCGCCTCCGACGCCTGCCTCTTCCCGCTCGAGGAGCAGGCCGCCGCCGACGCCTACACCGTCCGCGTCGACGACCCGGACTACGGCGCCTGCGTCGAGCGGTGGGGCGGCGGCGACGCGCCGGCGCTTGCCCGCGTCGGCCACCTGCTGCAAGAGGCCGCCCTCTTCGCTGCGCCGGGCGGCGGCCTCGACGACCGAGAGCCGGCCGCGGCCGGCCCGCCTGCCGCGCAGCCGCTCTTTGCGGCGTCGCCCGCGCTCTTTCCGGCCGCGGGGCCGGCCCAACCGCCCTCCACCGACTCGGGCACCGCCACGCCGCTGCCGCAGTGGGACCTCGGCTCGCCCGCCAACTTTCCCGCCGCGCGGCGGCGGCAAGACTCGTCCGGCGGCTCCTCGTGCGGCTCCTCCACCGGAGCGTCGCCAATGCGGCTCGGCTTTGGCGCCGCGGGGTCCGCGTGCAGCTCGGGACGCCTGCCCACGCCGGGCGGCTTCGGCCACTCCGCCGGCTCCGCCACCTCCGGCTCGAGCTCCGGCCGCTTCCCCACGCCCTCCCGCGGAGGGTCGGGAGACGGCCTCGCCGCCCTCGAGCCGCTGCCGCCCGCGGCGACCGGCGCCGATCCGGAAGCTCCGGTCGCCTCCGCCGACGGCAGCGCGGCGGCGGCGGCAGCGCTTCCCGCCGCGGGTAGCAGCGCCGCCGGCGCCGCCACGGCGCACGGCTCTCTTGACCTGGCAAGAGCCGGCTCAGGTGCCCAGTCGCCGCCCCTGCTCGACATGATGCTCCGGCCGCCCGCATCATCGGCAGAGTTGAGACCCTGTGACTGATTCGCCCCGCACTGTGAGTTGTGTGATTCATTTTTGTGACTTGAGAGTTAAGAGAGAAAAACTTATAAAACAGCACGCTGCTCGCTGCGCCGCTGCGGCCTGCGCCACGCCCACGGTGGCGTGCGCGGCGCCGGCGGTGCTGCATCCGGCGCGTGCTATCTAGTATCTAGAAAGTAGAATCAGATAGCAGATCTGTTGTCTGATGCATGACTTGACTTGCCGCGTCCGTCCGAGGTGTAAATGGGGTCAGGTCGGCCGTCCATCAAACTTGACACTAGTGCAACCGCCGCCGCGACGGCCGCGGCGACTCGCGAGGCGGAGAGTGTCCCACGACTCTCACACGCATCTCTAGGATGGCATCGGAGCCGCCACCATCGATTGCTGGAGAGGACGTCCCCGGCGCCGCGATCGAGGGCATGCTCGCCCGCACATCCTCACTCCCACAATCTCTCGCACAATCTCTCGAACCCAGTGAGCGCGGCAGTGATGACTGCCCCATTCTCTCCGAAGATTCGTTCACCGGCTTCTCCGACTGCGCTGAGTGGTAGGGCCCCCAAGGGTCTAGAAATCGCGCCTCCCTCTCCCTTGTCTCCCAGTAAGCTAAAAGTACGTACATACACACACTGAGAGAGAGAGTACACTGAAAAGCGCATGTCTTGAAGGTCCGATGCTGGAAGCCCATATAGGCACGTTACATTATCCTTCGGCAAATTGGGCCCCTAAGGCCCCCAGAGTCGAAACCACAGGGGTTGGAGAAAGAGACGGCGTTTTGTTTTTCTTTTCAGCATTCGCCTCGTTGGCGGGGCGAGCGCAACAGTCAGTCGAAGTCAGCGCATCCCGCGTCGCTTAGCGATCGTTCGCGCGTTGATGGCTGACGCCCCGGTCAAGCAGGTTGTCGCGGCCGAGGGCTGCACGGGCGCCACGGTCACGGCAGCCAACTCGCAGGCGGCGGCGTTGGGCGCTGCCGCAGCCTCCGCAATCGCTGCTGCCTTCAGTGCGAATCCATCGCCGCTCGGCACCCGGCACCCGGCACCCGGCGGTGCGAAAGTTGCGGGCGCATCGCGGTGCGCAGCGGTAGCCGTACAGCCGCCGGCGCAGCCGCCGCCGCGGCCGCAGCCGAAGCTGCAGCCTCCCACGCCTCTCTGCGCCGGCGTCGTTGAGCAGGCTCCTCCTGCGCTGCAGCGAGCGGGCGCCGCCCCGACGCAGGCTCCTCCCGCGCCGCTCTGCGTCGGGGCGGCGAATCCCGCGCCGCAGTGCGCCACGGCGGGCTACCTGCCTCGCTGCGTCCCTGCACAGCTGGCGCCGCAGTGCATGGCGGCGGTGCCCTCGATGGCCTTCTGCCCGTCGCAGTACCCGCTGCAGCTCGGCCCGGGGGGGTACATGGGAGGCGCGCCCGGGATGGGCGTGCCGGCTGGAGGCGTGCCTCGGGGCGGCGCGATGCCGCTCGGCCACCCGTGCTGCGGTCACCCCATGGCGGGCGGGCAGGTGGCGGGCGGGCAGGGGGCGGCGTACCCGTCCGCGCAGTACCCGGTCGGGATGCAGATTGGCGTGGGGCAGACGGGGGCGGGCCAGGCGCAGGGCGCCGCCACGCAGGCCTATACCTCGCCGGCATGCGGCGCGAGGCTGTGAAGAGACGCGGTTCACGCGTCTAGCTGTGAACAGGCCTACCTCGTCGGCATGCAGCAGGCCGGCATGCAGCAGGCAGGCATGCGCCAGGCCGCCGCGATGGCTGGCCCGAGCGGCGCTGCAGCCGGCGCCGCGGGCTTGTCGATGCGAGAGGGGAGGCTCGAGCCCTCCCCGCACCCTCCCGGAACCCCTTCCTGCAGGCGCCGCAGACTCGGCGATGCGAGACGGGCACGCGGCTAACCAGCGCGGCGACTACGCGGCGGCGCGCTCCTTCTTCCTCGCCGCGGGCCGCATGTCCGGCAAGGCGGTCGCCCAGATCTCGGCGGCGAACATGGCCCTCAAGAGCGGGCGTGTGCGCGAGGCGCTGATGGAGTATGAGGCGCAGCAGAGATGCTGCGGAGATGCAGCAGAGATGCAGCAGAGATGCAGCAGAGATGCAGCAGAGATGCATCCCGACGCTGCTCCCTCTCCACACCCCTCTTCCCACCTCGCCCCTCCTCCCCACCGTCCCCTCCCTCCCCCACCTCGCCCCTCTCTCAGGTGCTCCTCCGCCGCCGCGACCTCGAGCCCGCCCACCGCGCCGCAATCGAGGCTAAGGCGTCCTCTCTCCCCCTCCATCTCTCCACACACACCTCCCCACATCTCCCCACATCTCGCCACTCGACATGCACATGTCCACGACACGTCCTCGACACGTCCTCGACATGCCCCCAAGGTCGCCCTCGCAGCGCCGGGCAAGGGGTCGCGCCTCGCAGGGGCAGCGCCTCGCCTGCCGCCGAAGCTGCCGCGACCGCCGGCAGCGCCGCTCTTGCGTGAGAGGGCGGCAGCTGCGGACTACTCCCTGGCTCACGGGTGGCGGTTGGTATGTCAGGCCCTTCCGACCGTGCCTGTGGGTGGGCCGGCAACCTCGTTGGGGTTAAGCCTTGTCGCAAAGTACGGGAACCCCGACCCCTCGGGGGGGTTGGTCCTCGCCAAGGGGGGGGGGGGAGAAAAACAAAGCCCCCCCCCCCCCCCCCCACACACCCGCCCACCCCGGACTGGGCGCCCCCCGCCACCCTCCCGACGCCCCTCGCCCCAAGCGCCCCCGCCCTCCCAGCGCCCCTCGCCACCCTCCCGACGCCCCTCGCCCTCCCTTCAGGTGGTCGTCGTGCGCGTCACCGCAAAGGATGCCGCCGGCTCGCCCGCGCAGCCCGTCGGCGTGCGGCTGCTGCTCGAGTACGAGGACGGCTCGCCCCTCCTCCCCGAGGCCGCCGCCAGCGCCCTCGTCGGCACCTGTCAGACGGTGGTGCACAAGGGCGGGCCTGCGGACCTGAGGCTGCGGCTGACGGCGATGTCGTCGTCGCACAGCCGGCGGCGCTTCCGCTTCGCGCTGCTCGGTCAGCCGGCTCCTGCGGAGGGGGCGGGGAGCGCGCCTCTCCTCCGCGCGACGAGCGAGCCGTTCGCGATGGTCGCGGCGGACTCGCCGAGGGAGGGGCTTGTGCACGGCGCCTCTTCACAGCTGCAGCTGTGAACAGGTGCACCACAACGGATTCAGCAGCGCGGGCGGCTCCGACTCGCAGCAGCGCGCACTCGCCGCAAAGGGGCGCGCGGGCGGGAGGGCATTCGCGCAGCAGTACCGGCAGGCGACACCGACGCATCGCCTAGCTCCTCACGCCATCACTAACCACGCCAGCTGTCCGACTGCCAGCTGCTGCTGCCCGCAGGCGGAGCGACTGCCGGAGCCGCCCGCGCTCGAGCGGCGCCGCTACTTCCCGGCCTCGTCCATCGTCGCCGCGACTGCGACGGCCGAGGGCGCGCAGATGACCCGAGATTACCCGAGATTACCCGAGATTGCGACGCCAGGGGGCTGACCAACAGCCACGTCTCGGCTCTGTCTCGCCTCCTCTCTCTCGCAGGTGCGGAGGGCGGGGCGCGGCTGACCAAAAGCGCGATTCGGCTGTGCGACCGCCTCGCCGCGCTCGTCGCGCAGCAGCTCGCGCAGCGCTCCTTGCTGGCGGCGCAGAGGCGCGCGGCTCAGAGCCGCGGCGCGGGGGCGGCGGCGGAGGGGGCGCAGCTGGCGCCGAGCGACAAGCTTGCAGCGGCGTGCGAGGCTGCTAGGCGGCTTGAGACGTCGGGGCTTGGCTCGCGGCTCGGCGAGCGAGATCAGCCGAGATCAGCCGAGAGTAGGCCTCCTTCGGCGCTGGGCAAGCGGCCGACGCCAGAGGGCGGACTAGAGCGCGGACAAGAGGGAGAACCATCGCTGCCCGCTGTGGCCGCTGCGTCCGGTGCCGTCGCTGCCGCTGCCGCCGCCGCCGCGGCCGCCGCATCAGCCGTCGCCGCCGTCGGTGGCGAGGAGAGCCCGCTCTCTGTCTCCGCGCCGCCGGCTCCCGCGCCAGGGGGCGAGGCGGCCGCTCCAGCTGCTCCTGCGCCGCCGCCAGCGCCGCCGCCGCCCGGCACGCCGCCGCCGCTGCCTCGTGCCCCTCCGATCCTGCTCGAGGCGCGGGACGTCTAACCCTAACCCTAACCCTAACCCTAACCCTAACCCCTCCGATCCTGCTCGAGGCGCGGGACGTCGTCGCCGCCATCAAGCAGCCGGGCAACTTCGACTTTCTCTACCACGCAGGCGTGCTGCGGAAGCACGAGGCGCCGCCGTCACTCGCGCCGCCGTCGCTCGCGCCACCGGCTGGGCCGAGCGCGCTCCCCGGCCCGAGTGCGGCCAACGCGCCTCCGCCTCAGCAGCAGAAGGAGGTAGCGCACTTGCTGCAGCAGGTTGGGGCGAGTGCGCTCCCTTCCCTGCCTCAGCAGCCACAGCAGCTGGCGCAGCTGCTGCAGCAGGTGGGCACGCCTCACTCTGCGGCGGTGCAGACTTGAGGGCACCCTGAGGGCTACAGCTTGCCAGGGCTGATCGCGGGGCTGCGGGGATGCGGCCCCGCGTGGCTCAGGACGCGGCATACGCATCGAGCTTGGGCACGGGATTCGTCTGGATGGCAGCGGGGCGGCGATGCGCCGCACTCATCGGAGGCTGGTCCACTCGAGGGGAAAACGGGGGCATGACATCGTTCTCTTGCCCGTGTTGAGATTTGGCACACCCCCAAGCGCCAGGGAAAGTGCGCGCACACATTACGTCTGTCGGGCATGGTCTTTGGTCTACCTCTACGGCCGGGGCAGGGCCGGGTGACAAATTTAATAAAAATCATCGGACATCCATCGCGGCGGCTTTGGCCCTAGCTTTGGCCTTTGCTGCATCTGACATGAAGCTGAGACCCCCCCCCCCCCCCCCGCCAAGCGAGGCGAGCGGCTCCTGGCAGAGATCATCCGAGATCAGCCGAGGTCGCCCGAGATTATCCGAGATCACGCTCGCTGATGGCCGAGCGAGGCGAGCGGCTCCTGGCAGGCGCAGACGAGCCCCTTTGCGCTTCCGACCCGCTCCTCCAGCGCCTCGCCCCCTCCCTCCGCCTGCCACCACGCCCCCGCGTAGCACGCCTCAAACGGCGCAGCCTCGACCGAGGCGAGGCACTCTGCGTTGACGGCTCCCTCCGCCAGCAGCGCTGCCGCCCTCGCGGCCGAGCCGCCGATCCAGCCG